TATACCATGCCACAAGCAGATTCTCCTCCAAACTACGTCGATGGTCAATGGGCACGTAGGGATAGACCACTGAGCTTCGCGCATAAGAAAGGAACTCTAACGGGTCAGTAAACTCAACAAAGTGATAGTTGATTCATTCCTTCAAATCATAAGCCTCAGGTTTTGACCAGCTTGTCCAGTCAGAAGCCCCAGAAGAGGAAGAAGTTGCAGCCTTATCCCATGCAGAGGGTTGTGAAGAAGAACTTCCCATGTCCATATTTACAACTTTCTGAATCAAATGATTGAGAGCAATTTGTCCGTAGTCCAAGGGTGAGTTAGAAGAAGAACTTCCCATGTCCATATCTGTAAGTTTTTGAATCGATGGATTAAGGGCAATATGTTCGAAGTCCAAGGGTTGATAATTTGCAAAGGCATCCATGACCTGAATATAGAAAGGTGGGTAAAGGTGGCTAATTAATGCATGGAGATTCTTTCAAGGAAGAACAGCATCATCATATGACTCTTCGTGTACTCGATCAATGGAGGGAAAAATTGATTCGGCCATAAAAAATGTATCAGTCTGTTCGAATACTAAGATGGTGGGGTTATTCAAAAGATTGAAGGAGAGTTTAATGCAAATGATGAATGACAGTTGCATTTCTGGGAGAATGCAAAACCCATGCACGTTCTAAGACGTGAGAAAAGACCTTGATCCATTAATATCACCAAGTATTGGATATATTAATGCGGGGGGTAATGTTGGCTACATATTTTGTACAAGCCAATTACAATTTGACGCATGGCAAAGTAAAGGTAGTACGGGAAGACCATTTAAATCTTCGATCCTGATCGTACACGTGGCAGTTAGTATTGGTTGTTACGAGATCTAAGTAGCAGTGGATCAACAAAGAGATACAAGGTGATGTGGCATCAACGGTTACTCACATTAAAATTCAAATTTAGGAGGGAAGCCTAACTGCAAGTGATGGCGTAATGGAGCTAATCTTGAGGCAACATGATCAGCAATCATGGGGGAGCAGTTCAACGGTTGGAAATACAGTTCGATGGTCATCCTTAAGCAGTATAAATAGCAGAGAAGGCTCCAGAAAAAGCCTCCAGACTCAGATCCAAAAAATCAGTCTTATTCTACTTTACTTAGTTTTACATTTCCTGTTCTTTACATTCCAGTACTTTAAATTCCTGCATTGCACTTCATTCATAGGAGTAGTTTCAAATAGATTGTTGCTGTAAACCTCTACGAGGCTGAGTTTGAATCATTGTAAGTTTTTCATTCTAATGAAATGTTTCAGTTATTCTTTATTTGATTGATATTTTGCTTAATTCTCCTAAATCAAACCACCAGTAAAAGTCCTCTTCATTGAAGCTGAGAGAACTAAAACACAATCGTCTGATAATTGGTTGGCAATTAAATTTCTGTAAGGACTGATTGATCTTTGCTGGCACGCTGGAAATTACAAAAATAACATTCGAAAGCCAAAAAGCTAATAGTCATGCATCATATTTACCAACCAAAAAACACTGAAAAGTTAGGTAGTTCAATAAAGAAAAATGCTTGTGAGCACTAAAAAATGATCACTAGAGGGAACACTAATGATGTGGCAGTGGGCCCCACTCACTTTCTATGCCTTATTTTTATTTTTTTATTATTTGTTTTGCCATTCCCAATATATTAGTGCTATTAGTGATACATTTTTTAGTGGTCTAAATTGTTGTTGTTTAATAAATTATATAGAACAATGTTATTAGAGAACATTGTATTTTAAATTGTCTTTCAAGCCAATTACTTAAATCTCGTTTGGGAAGTTCACTATTTTAGTAAGTTATTTTAATAGATTAAAATTTTTATATTTGAAAAGATAGTTAGATTTTTTTGTATTTAGATGTGATATTTGTAAGAGAAAAAAATGAAATGATTATGTATTTGATGTGATATTTTATTTTATTAGCTATTTTAGTCTATTTTGCTTTTTATAAATTTTAGTCAAAAAAAAAAAGCTAAAACCCAACTTGCGAAACAGGGCATTAAACCAATAAGAGTAGTTCAATTCTTTTAATCTCTCATACTTATTGATGTTTTGAAAAGTTGGTAAAAAGTTGATTTTTTTAGCTTTTTTGACTTTTTTCTAAAAAAAACTGGTTCTTTTTTTGTATAAAAAAGCTAAAAACCCAAAAAGTTCACTTTTTGCATGTTCCCAAATTGCCCCCAAGTCACTAATACTACATATTTGTGAAAAGCCTCTTGGGTTATTTTGATGAATTTGTGTTGAAATTTCATATTGGAGAGGATAAATTCATCACAAAGGCTTGAGTAAGAACAGCATGTCCCAACTTGTTTTTTTTACATTGTGTTTAGTTTGGGGGTTTGAGAATGAATTTGCAAAGAAAAAAAGAAAAGACGTGTATGAAATTAGATAAAATATAATTATATTTTTTCTATATTTTTTCTTTCTTTTTTTAAATCTCTCATCCAAACACAACGTTCGTCTTTTATTCTTTACTTCATGTATGTAATACGATAATTTCTCTTCAATTTTCAAGGTCAATACATAATTTAGCCTTTATTTGGCATGCCAGTCTTTTTTATTTTTTTTGACTATTTTAGTCACAAAAAGACAAAATACGTTTTTTAACCTAATAAGACAAAGCATCACATCACATTCAAACCATAATAATTTTATTTTTTTCTCAAAAAAGTCAAAAAGGCTAGCCTAAAAGAGCCTTTTTAACCCCAAGTTTAAATAATTAAAAAGCAAAAAAATTAAAAAATTAATTCACATTCCAAACGAATACTTAAGAAAGTTTTGAAATAGTACAATTTTGCTAATCCTCCCTTCCCTTGCCTTTCCGTAAGGAAGAGTGAAATTTCAATAACAGGTTTCCATGCCACTTTGTAGACATCGCAAGCAAAAACATGATTAAAAACCATCTCCTTAATTCGATCATGCAATTTTGAAAACATACCATGGATTTGTTTGGAAAGTGGATTTGTTTGGAAAGGGGTTGGCTTTTTCACTCTTTGACTTTTTTTTTTGTTTGGAAAAGATTTTTGATTTTTTTAATTTTTTTGTGAGAAAAAGAATATAACGATTATAAGTGTAATATGATATTTTATTTTTTATGACTAAAAAACTTATTTTATTTTTATGACTATTTTAACCAAAAAAACTCAACCTTTGGCTTCCCAAACAAAGACATTCCTGAAAAGCTTATTTTATTTTTATGATTAGTGTGTTTGGTTTGAATTTTTTGAATTAAATTTTTTGAAAATTGAATTTTTTGATTTTCATATTTTTTTGTTTTTAATAAATATTTTTAAATTTTTAGACATTTTTTTTACTTTTTTAAATGCACATTACTTAGATGTATCTAAAAAGTAAAAAATTTGTAAAAAAATATTTTTAAAAATTAATAAATACATAAAAATATAAAAAATATACTGCATTCTTGTATTTTTTTATATTTTTGGAATTTAGTGAATTTTTAAAAAGTATTTTTCAATTTTTTTTTTTACTTTTTAGGTATATTTATGTCAGGTATGTCTAAAAATTAAAAAAATTACTTAAAATATTTTAAAAATTTAGTAAAAATAAAAAACACACAAAAAATTAAAAAATAAAATTTTCTGAAAAATATTTTTAAAAAATGATAACCAAACATTATCTTGTTTGAGACGGAAGATCCCTGTCATTTAGAAGCAAGAAGACGACAAACACAGGTATGTTTGATTTATTAGTTTGGTTTGATTTTTAAATTAATACTTAAATTAAAAAATCAAAAAATATGTTTGATTTTTAATTTTTAAAATTATTTTTTTCTCTTTTCTCTCATTCTCTTCTTTTTTTTATATTTATTATTAATATATCAATCAATCACTTTTTCTTCTCTCCTCTCATTTCCTCACATTTTACACATTAATCAGTCAAATATTCTCTAACGCCCATCTATTTAATTAAAAAAAAAAAACAAAACTTATAAATCATTTACAAATTATTTTCAAAAACCATAACAAACAAATTTTTACACTTTGTAAATCTTTTAAAATATAATTTAAAACTCACAACTCTTTAAATACTAAAACTAACGGACCAAAATAATTCATCCCCCTTTTCCCTCCACCCCTTTGATCCCCTCTCTCTCTCATTGGTTACTTTTTTTTTTTCTTTTTCTTTTTTTTCCTGCTCCTCCAATCACCACCCGCCACATGGCAAAAGGGTGACCCCCAAAAGGGGGTCCCAAACATTATTCATCAATCAATCATTTTTTCTTCTCTTCTCTCACATTTTACACATTAATCAGTCAAATATTCTCTAACGCCCATCTATTCAATTAAAAAAAAAAAACAAAACTTACAAATCATTTACAAATTATTTTCAAAAACCATAACAAACAAATTTTTACACTTTGTAAATCTTTTAAAATATAATTTAAAACTCACAACTCTTTAAATACTAAAACTAACGGACCAAAGATTTTGTTGAATTGTATTTCAAGAAAAACAAATCAATTTTTTTTTAAATACAATAAAAACTGGTTTAATAAAAATAAATATCATAAATATTATAATAAATCAGAAAAATATTTAAAAAAGAAAAGAAAAAAATGTATAAAATTATATAAAATATAAATATATTTTATTCACATTTTACCTACCTTTTCTATTTTTCTTTCTAAATCTCTTCTTAAAATTTTCAACCAATCGCAACATTATTACCAACATAAGTTTTCACTCCCATTTTTCTCACCAAACAGATCAAGTACTACATGAGATAAGAACATTATCATGAGATCCATAAACGAAGAACATTGGAACAAAAAGCCGAAAAAAATGGTTGCAACTCTGCCTAACAAGAAAGTAGTAACCACTCCAAAGCTTTTTCTATGATGATGCTATCGCGTGACAAATAAGCTATAACACATCTCAACATCACACCACTTTGCCATCAAAGATACAAAAATAAACTAGAGAATAAATAAATAAAATAATGGCAGCACACAGATCATTAACAAGACAATAATAAAACCTTGACGATCATCATATATTTACAATGATAAAATGTCACCACTGACACCACTAAAGATGACTCATACCAACTTTTGGTTTTTTACAAATTCACTTTACAAAGCCGACCACTAAAAAGATTTGCATTTTCATAGACCCTAAAATGGTTAATAATTTTTTTAAAAATACCCCTCTTCATACCTACTTACATCATAAGAGGGATCAACAGAACCTAAGCCTCTGTCTCTCCATTTATTTGGTTAACAACTCTTTACTTACAGACACATTTACTTACAGAAGACGACCCTTTTAAACATATTTACATCAACAAAAGGATCCAACTTTCTTCCCCCTCAGTGAAGTGTGCAAAATTCATCTCCCCCTAAATCAAGATTGTTGTTGTCTCATGTTGTCTTTCGGCTTCAGTTTGCTATATAGTACTTTTAGTGTTTTAGATTTGGGTTCACTAGGCCAGGGCAGGGATGCTGCAATTTCGCCTATCCCTGTCCAGGCAATCGAACCCCTCAACCCTCACGGCTGGGTTGTTCCCAAAATTCGCCCTCACACAACCCCCTTTCCTAGAGGAGGAAGCTGATGAGGAAGACAACCCGGAGCCAGAGGGAATAGGAATCGACCGTGGTGAGATGGGGGTGAACTTGTCATCCCCAAATCGAGCGTCCTGAATTAATGGGTTAGATACTCTACTCGGCGGAGACCCACAAAAAAATGGGGGCGACGAGGCTACCTGTGTACAAGAATGTTCCGCACCATAACCACCCTGTAAAATCATAGACACCACACATCAATATACATCCAAATCCAGCACAAAATTATTCTAAACCATTCAATTGCAACAAGTATTCGATGTCCATACACTTCTATTAAAATTTTAAGGAGAAATTACAAGAAGAAAAACTCAAAGTATGTTTTCAATCTAAACCATCACCCTATTTTCGATAAGTACAAATAATGAAAAAAAATTTATTTTAGTCATTAACTTCAATGTAATTGTACATAAAATTTTAAAATATATTTTTTTAAGGCAGATGATTCTGATTGAAAAAGAATAAAAAATTTAAAATTTAAATTGACAAAATTAAAAACTCAGATTTATTTTCTTAGAAGAGTAGAAAGGAAAAAAAAACAATTTTCCCCTTTTTAATGTCCCAAAATTGTTTTATGGACAAAAAAATGGCATCTTTTTTGCAATTTTTATTTATTTTATTTATTTATTTATTTATTGGCACACAGAAATTAACCAGAAAAATATGGAAGCAGAAATATTATAGATAATTAAAATTAAACAATACCTTCGTGAGGATGATGTCCAGGAGTTCTGTTCCTGCTTTCGATTCACACAGCTCCGATTGATAACTGTTAATTAAACAATTAAGATTAATAACAGTTATGTTTTTCTGGATTAAAAAAAGGCAAGGAATTGTAAAAACAAAAGCAAAAAATACCTCATATGCCATCTCAAAGGTCTGAATTGATCGTTGAGGCCGGTATTGAGGAGACCGAGACGACGAGGTTTGGGACAAACCACAGTCTCTCTCCGATCGTAGATCGAAACGGAAACAGAGCTCCTCATCTCTTCACAGGCTGCGAAGGCGTTTTGTTGTTGAACCGCACAGTGATTCATTTTCATTCAGATCTCACTTCCACAACGCCTGATTCGATTCAAAAAAATTAATTAATTAATTAATTTTAAAATTTTTATGAACAGATCTGAAGGATATGAACAGTTGTAGATCGAGATCTAAATAAATAAAAATAAATTAAATCTATTTGATAATAACAGTAGTATCTAGCTAAAATTTGAAATCTACCATAAATAAAGTTTGAATTAGGGTAAACGAAGCAGATCCATCGAAAAAATCAAAACTTTTTCCCTTTTGAACAAATCAACAACTTGGACAATTTTTTTCGAGCTTCTGTTAGTTGATTTCTTGGCAAAAAACTAGTTTCTACAGCTGATACAATTTCTATGTTCTTCCTAGAGGTTGAATATATATATATCAGAGCTTCACCAAAAATAAAAAATAAAAAATTCCAAACTTATTCGCAGATCGTTATTGAAACAAAAAAATAAATTAAAAAAAAATTATTAATCCGGACAAAAAATATTTTGGAGGAAATTGTTTAAAAATTATTATGAGAAAACCTGAAAGGAATATGAGATAACACGTTTAAGAAATCACAGAAAAATATTGATGAAAGTGAAATATAATTAGTGGTGATTCCTATTTTATTTTCCTTAAAAAAAATAAAAATAAAAATAAAACATTTTCGCAGCTAAAAAATTAAAATTCAACAAAAAAAATTTAGAACGAATTTTTTTAAAAAAATAAATAAAAATATGAGAAAACCTCGAGGAATATGAGGAAACAAGTCTCAGAAATCATATGAAATTGAAAAAATAAAAATACAAAAGAGGATTCAATTGAACATAGCATACATAGGTTGAAGAAATCAATTCGATGAGGAAAAAGAGAGAAGTCATACCTGAGCGAGCTGCAGATAGGTAGTATAACTAAAGCTCCTCGAATTCGAACAAGTAAAACAAAAAACAAAAAAAAAAACTAAAGAGAAAACGGTTAGGGGTGTAAGGTATAACAAGGAAAGGGTAAACAGAGATTTTATAGAGAGGGAAGGGAATTGAAGGAATCTGAAAAAGAGATGTGATTAGAGAGAGAGAGGTGTTTGGGAGCGCGAATAAACAGAGAGAGAGAGAGGTAGGGGACAAGAGATGCAGAAAAGGCTGCAGAAACTGTATTTATATTATTTTATTGGAAAATGCAGGCAATGGCTCCCGCGATAAATCTCATCGGTTTTCTCGCACCCCCTAACGCTCCACAAAACTAACCATTTTGGCAAAAATAATAATAATAATAATAATAATAATAATGTTAGATATTATGAAAAAAATATCATGAAAATAATCAGGAAAAAAATTTTACCGTTAGATAATACATACAAAAAAATACTACATACTAATCAAATGATGAAAAATCTTCATGAGACATTTCATGATATTTTTTTCATGATTCCTAATATTACTCCAAAAAAAAAAACACCTCTTTTTTTAATTTTTTTATTTTAATAATTTTTTTTCAAAATTATATGATTTTATTTTATCTTATCAAGATAAATTTAAAAAGTATATTTAAAAAAAAAAAAAAAAAAAAAAAACACAAAAAAAGAAAAAAAAAAAAAAAATTTTTTTTTTCGGGTTTTTTTTTTTTTTTTTTTTTTAAAGAAAAATGAAGTGAAGGATTGTATTAAGAAGACGGGGCATCAGCCAAAATCAAAAGGAGCAATCTCGAGTGGAACATCCTCCATCCATCCAAGTTCGCAAACAACAATGAGCTACCGAATTGCCTTCCCTAAACACATGACTGGATAGACTAACCACCCAAGACTGAAACTCACCCAGGGAAGGGAACCATGAACAGCCGAGACAAAGCCATCCTTGGGTCTTGAATTCCCTTTATCACATTGGCCGAATCTCCCTCCAATTGTTAGTTAATTTATTTTAATTAATAATTTAAATAATTTTGTCATTATGTAAGAGTAATTATGAACATTATTTTTTTAATTAATTATGTTAAATAAAAAATTCTAACAATGAAAAATATTTATAATTTTTGAAAGAATAATTTTTTTAAAATCTCTGATATTAAAATTTTATAAGATAAATAATTTATAATGTTTTCATAATAATTAGAGTCTCTCAATATTTTTACAAAAAAAAATCGATACAAAAAAATGAAAATATTTGATGTCCTTTATGCTATAAAATCATAATACCAGGGACCTTAAAAAAAAAACCCCAAAAAAATTTCAATTTTCATATATAATTTTTTTGATTTTACGGAGAGATTTTAGTTAATAAATCATATCGAACCTCTCCTATTACGTAAAATTAAAAAGAGATATTTTACTAATTTTTTATTTTTTTAATTACAAAAACTAATTTATATTTTAAACAAATTTTAAATATGTATTTATAATTTATTCATAATTTTTTTATTATTTAATGCAATAAAAATCTGTAAATATCAACAACGACCTATTACATTACATGTGACTTGAAAGGCCGAGATGGTGAGTAGGAGCCGTACTCGCCCTATGGAACTGACAGCTGGCATGGGTCGATGGATGGATTGAACTTTTGTTATTAAAACCGACCCTGTGGAAATTGACCTTGCTCCTAAGGTCGGCGGGCCCGTCACCGGCGTAATTTTCGCTCCGTTTGTTTTTTTTTTAAGGTCAAATTTGACCTGATTGAAAAAAGATAAAAAATTAAAAAGTCATTATTTTATTTAAGTTATATCATCTTATTTAAGTTACATCACCTCTTTAACACATCACTTCAAACTCAATCCAAACCCAACCCATATTTCATAAAAAATCAAAAAATACACTTATTTAGTCTTGCCAAACTAGGCCTTAATCTTACACACCAATCTCATAATTTGTTGGTATGTAATTCTAATGAAAGTAGGCCATGTTTGGCGTTGGTTATTTGGGTTAAAATAATAATAAAAAGATAAAATAAATTAAAATATTAATAAAATAAAATATCACATTTAAATTATAATTATTTTATTCTTTTACTTATAAAAAATTTAAAAAATCAAAAAGTGTATTATAAATAAAACATTTTAACTTTAAACTAAAACAGTTAAAAAGTCAATATACATCCCAAACGAAAGCTAAAAAACATTATAAATTCGTAATAAGAAGTTTTTTTTTTATTTTAAACTGGGTGTCCGACCAATTTATGCATACCTCGATTAATTTTAAAGAATCAAACCTACCATCCATTTGCTGGGATCTCATTTTAAAGTCAAAACAAATGCCCAGTTTGAATTAGGATCTTATAAAATACTGTTTAATCCGCTAAAATCACGCTGATCCGCATTAATTTGCACCGCTCTAACCGCTAATCGCGGTTTAAGCTTTAAAATTATAATCCGCCTTCTAAATCGTTCTGCTCCGCTATAGTTAATATATATATATTTTTTAATCTCCAATGAAATATCATAGTAAAAATTAGTGTGAGAGAGATTTCAGATATGAAATTTATTACAAATTAATAGTATATATATATGATACATATTATGTAAAATTACTTTGTGTTATATATATGAAAAATATTATGCAAATTAGTATCATATATTTTGTAAATGTATAATAATTAGTTAGAATATTCTCCAATCTGTCAATCCGCAACAACTGCCCAAACCGCAATTTGTCATTCCGCTAATCTACCAATCCGCCATTCAATTTGTAATTTTACTTCCAAACCGTCCGAACTACACCGTGCACACCCCTAATTTGGATATTAATTGTTATAAGAGTTTAACCATTATAAATTCGTAATAAAATAAATTATGAATATTTAATTTTATCAATTTAAACTTTATATATATTGTATTATATAACTCTTATATGCTTAGTATATATTAATAAAAAATATGGATATTTTTTCTCCTACCTTCATGTTGCACTCATATTCTTGTCACATGACTGTATTCTGTTAAAAATTTAAACAATGGAGTGACAAGAGGGGGACATTGACATTTGTGCAGTGACCAAAGTGGGATTTAACTAAAAGTGCAATAGTTTGATCGTCACAATTTCATATATAGGGACTACAGTAGGATTTGATCAAAAGTGTAGGAGTTAATTGTCATAATTTTGTGTAACGACTAAAATGAGATTTGGTGTAATGTATAAGGCTGCAAAAAGTGTAATTTATCCTAAAAAATAGCTTGTCTCTAGTGTAAAATCAGAATTATAGGTGTTGTCTTAACCCATGAAACTATGGGTGTAAATCTGGCCTCATGGGCTCCTATCAAAATTTTGGGCCGAGCTGGCCCATGAACAAAAAATTAAGCCCAGGCCCAGGGGTATTCAGGCCTTGGGTGGGGCCTCGAGTTGGCCCGGTGGCCTGGGCCTAGCTTCGGGCTTGGGACGGCTTGACCATTTTTTTTTATTTTTAAAATTTTTTTCTATCAAAAGTTTATTATTTTTCACTAAAAAATACACTGGGCCTCGCGCTGGGCTTCGAGTCAGGCCCTAAGTGGACTTTAAGCTGGCCGATGGGTCGAGCCATGTGTCGGGCCCACAGGGCGGGGCGAGCTTCAAAATGATGGCTCAAGTCCTAACCCACGGGCTCGAGTTGGGGCGGGCCTAAATGGGTCGGGCCCATCTTGAGCAAGGGGTAGGTTTCAGGCCGCTCACGGGTCGCGGACCATTTTTACACCCTTACATGAAACCCAGTATAAGTTCTATTTCGATAATTCAAACAGCTTGTTTTATAAGACAATATGTGTATATTATTTATGAAACAAAAATTAAGAAAGTCATTCCGATAAGGCTGTTACAGTTATCAGGTAGATTTATTTCCATGAATAATATTAGGGTAGGGCATAGGGTTGTCCGAACCGCCTAACACGCCTAACCCGATTCGATCCACATACAAATGGATAGTTTCGCAGACATAATGTGAACGGATGCGGTTTGAAATATGACATTATAGCGAACCCGCAACAACCTGCCCAAACTTAGACTATTTTTATTTTTTATTATTATTTTTTTTTATGATGGATTTTGTAAGTTTGCAAATATTTTTATTTTATTTAATGAGTTTGAATTGAATGAAATTTGACAACAATTTATTGTTATTTTATTATTACATTTTGGATGAATGTAAAAGTTAATGAAGAATTACTTTTAAGTAAGTTTAGGATTTTAAATGATTTTACTTTAATTGTATTGTTGAGTAGTGAAAGATTTTGATGATTTAATTTAAGATTTTGAAAGATGTGCTTTGCGTTAGTTTATGATTTTATTTAAAAAGTTTAGGATTTTGAATGGTTTGCTTGCGTTAAGAATTGATTTTGTTGTGTTTTAATTTTATAAGTTTTAATTCATTAATTATTAATGTTGAGTATTTTATAAAATGGGAGAAAAAAGATCCAAAATAAATATTTATAAAATGGAAAAAAGAAGGCTCAAATTTAATTTTAAAGAAAAAAATTCAGTTCGCAACCCAGCCGCAACCACCCACACATCTGCGAACCCTATTCGCACAAACCACAACCTACACTGCGGGCGATTACGAGTTCAATTTTTCCTAAACTGCACATATGTGGGTGGGTTCAAACCGCAAACCAAACCGTCTAAAATCGAACCGCGAGCACCCTTAAATAATAAAATGCATACAAGGTTTTACAAAATGTATAATTATTTATCATTGTTATTCAAAATTCTCACTTAACTGTTCACAAATTATTTAGAATTATTATTTTGTGATTCAAATTCACTCTATATATAAATCACATACTATACAAATTTATAATCTCAATCATACAATCTCTTTCAAGATAAATTCTAGGTAGTTAAGATAAAAGGCCTAATTATAAATGAGTGATCTCTACAGTTAGACTTAAGGTAGGCACATAAAGCCTGTGTTTGGCAAGTGGGTTTACAGGATTTTTTGGCTATTTTAGCCACAAAAAACAAAATAGGCTATTTTAGTCATAACAAACAAAACATCACATCCAACCCATAATCATTACATTCTTCTCTCACAAAAAAACTCAAAAAAGCCAAAAAGCCATTCCCAAACCAAGCTTTTAAGCCCAGGCTA